TCATGCAAATTATGATCTCTGTTTTATGTTATCAGGCTGAATATATGGAATAGACAGTGGTCAGTGTAATCGGACTAATTCAGAAGAACAAAAGAATACACCATGTTTAAAACGCCTTTGGTGCTCCTATGCGTAATGTCCATTGGAGGAGGCTACCGCATAGGCAGCGTGTAGGCGCATTGCCCCAGTACAACCTGCCCACGGAAATACATTAAATATAGACAATCGCAGCTCATCACACAGGGGCGACCCCCTCTTTAAGACCAGGTATACCCCCTGGAGTATGAAAAACATGCGATTGTGAAGTTATGATGTGATTAAATTGACCCCCTGTCACATAACCTGTCAATAGGTGAACGTGATGCAGACGGATGCGGTGTGGGCTGCGACGTGAGGGAAAATGGAAAAAGGCGCAATGTTTTCATTACGCAGTAATATCAGCTGTGTGGAGGGAAGCACCTCCTAGGCGTGGGTTATCAAGTCCATGCATTCCTGAAGGTCGTAATCCGCATCTGGCATCTATCTTTTTGTTTTAAAAAATGGGATTATAGTATTGGCATTTTCAAGAGGATGCTGTATTATGCCACCTTAGTTCCTAAAAGCCAGATCCAAAACTAAATGAGAGGTTAATGTGGGAGGATTTTCCATCCCTCTCCTCTCAGTCTCCTGTTCTACCTGCATCTGGGTGGTTCTGAAATCCTTCCCCACCTTCAGAAAAAGATGCTTTGTGACCTTTTATGCAGCTCCTATGGGTTTATCATTCTTCCACCCCCAACACTTTTCATTCACCTCACAGGGAGGCAGAGCAGCTTGTCAAGCAGTGCTGGGTCGGGAGGTGTTCTCTGCTTGGTAGGGGCGGGGGGGATTAGGGCCAGGAGGTGTGGGTCATTATTATTACAAGGCTGTGTGAGTGGCATGCACTCAGAAAGGAGGGGACACACCTTGCGGGCTCTGTTTGTGCTATCATTGTCAGTTACCCCTTGGTTCAGGCTGCTTTTTCTAGCTCCAGTCTTTTTATAATCATTTCTGTGTGACTCATTAGTGTGTGTGTGTGTGGGAGTGTGATGCTGGAAATGTGTGTGGGCTTGTGGGCCTTCATATGAGCAGAGAAGATAGGGCAGTTCTTCCTTGTGTGTGCACTTACACAGCCTTATTTAAACGTTCCCCCCGCATGTAGTGCGTGCCGGTGCTGTTGTGCAGTATTATATTCTTCTCACACTCTGCTGTTTTCTGAAGCTGTCTGTCTTAAGAGCAGCAACAGCAACCTGCTGAGGTGGTCTGCCTCTACCTTAGAGCCATAATGAGCACCAGCATTCTCCCTGAACAGTCCTGACCCCCTGCTTATGGTACCTGCAGTTCACAGCCAGCGACTGTAACTCTCAAACCCTCAAATCGAAGGAGAAGTTCACAGCTATCCACTGCCAGTTGCCTCATGCCGAGGGGAGCTTCTGTGAATGAGCTTTGGATCAGGGCAAGGAGTAACAGGTGTAACCCTCTAGTGACCTTGAGCAGTGTAAGGCATTGGCTGTGTCATACAGGGAGAGATGGAAGGAAAGGAGTAGTCTAAGCTGTACCATCTCTAGCAACCTGGGCCGGAAGTTGAATGTTGATGAAAGAAGCACACTATCATGGGGTGCTCTGAATGAAATTGCCCATCAAAATGGTTTTTATGTTACAAGGTCAGCATGCTGTTCTTGTTAATTGCAATCTTGTTTTACATGTATTTCAAGTAATTTTTTGCTCTATTCATTGAGTTGCAGAGGTGTTGTGCTGAGGCAAGTTTTCTTATGTTTTCATCCTATGTTTGCGATAATGTCCCTTGATAGTACCACCCACAGAGGAGAAATGTGCGAGGGTGTTTGGATGCTTTACATGCATGCCTGTTCGGATCCATGTGTCCTTGCACACACGTGCCTTGGTGTGTTAGTGCAGGATCAGTGGGTGGGGTCAGACACGTGTTTGTATGTGCAGTTTATTAAGGCATCTTAATGTAAACATTCACGCTCCCTAAACATTCCCATCATGCCACAGTTCTACTACTGTAACACTGCCAGGAGGAGGATCCCAATTTTAATGGTTGCTGAACAGTTCAATTCAATTCAGTTTTTCTTTGTATAGCGCCAATTCACAACAAAAGTTATCTCAGGACACTTTTCAAATAGAGTAGGTCTAGACCGTAATCTTTATAACATTATTTGCATTTGCACACGCCCCAGCTGTGCCGTGTAGACTGAAATGGAGATGTGTATGGTTTAAAACCTTTGCTGTCTTTTCAGAGATGATTTCTCATTCTCCTTCTAGCTACTTGAAGCAGTACAAATGTTATCCTGCAAAGACATGAATAAATTAGCAAATCAGTAAAAAAAAATAATTTGCTTAAAGATTTCACCAATCATAGTTTTGCTTCATCTTGTACTCACTGAGGCTTCAGATATGCTATTCTGCTGACTCAGGGCATCACCCATCTTCAGAGTGGAACGGGGTTACTCTGTTGGTTTGACCTTCCTGAACCTCAGCAGTCTCAGTGGAGCCGCTGATACCAGTCTTCAGTCTCTTCAAACCAACTCAACAAACCTAAAAGAAGCACACAAGCCATGTTGGAGACTGTATGACTTTGATAATAGGAATCTGCGTGTGTCTTCATTAAGAGATAATGAGTAAACTGTTATAACGGCAGTCTTTTAATCTGCTCGCCTCTTTCGCATGTCTTATTATGTATGTAATGGCGAGTGTTTCTCCTTCCATGAGTCTTTTTTTATGTCTCTTCTTTGTGATGGAGATTGAAGGTCTTTTTCTGTGGGGGGTTGGTGATCAGGTGTGCTGTGTCAGCATCCCTTTGGCTCTCTGAGTCCGCTGCTGCTACTGCTGCTGCTGCTGCTGCCGCCACTTGCCTGCCTGGGTGAGATCTATGTCATGTGATCGCCAGCTTGACCAATCACCTCTGTGGAGCAAGACCTCGTACTGTAGGATGTGCAGCCATGCATACTCTATAGCTAAAAGAAATGTGTTATGGTGCAGTGGGAGAGACAGAAGGGTGTCACAGCTCTGCAAAGTGCGAGAAATTATGCCTGAATTTGTTTTCATTTTGTTAACTTTAGCCAAAATGTTTACTAGTTAAGCATTTAACTCAGTGTTGATGCCTCTCCATGATTAACAGTAGACATATTTTGTTTTTATTGTAATTGTTTTGATGCCCTCACACACCAAATAAGGCAGGAACAGATTACTTCAGTTCAGCCAGCTCCCACCCTCCATTTCTCATGACCTATTTCTCTATTCCCAACTCACTGCCCTATCTAGGTCTAGGACAGCCTGGTAAAATACTCCATGATACCAGTCAGACTGGTATATACATGCTAGACAATAAGTGAATTTCACCCATTAAAGAAAGGGCAAAAAAGTCTTTGTTCCATTTTATACTTTAAAAGGGCACCACTGTTTCTACCCCTAACCTCCTGACAAATTGTCTCTCACCCCACACTGCATTACTCACCTGTATGATGTTCACCACTAGTGCATGGTAATAGCCCTCTTCCTGCTCATGCCTTTAGGGTAGGCTTTAGCGCACCACTCCGCGATGCAATTATCAGAAAATGGCAGCCATTTGTGGGCTGGCAGATGAGTTGTAGATGCTTTCTCTCCCGCATTGTCTCACTCTTGCTTTTTCTTCCATCCGACAAATGTGACGTAGTAGGTGAATGTGTTAGCGATAAGCTTGCATGCTGGCCTTCCATGGATTTTCAGTGACAAAAGAGAAGTATCCAGTGAAAGAATTTACAGGAGTGGGAGTGTTAACGTGTTATGCACTTTGTAGTACTCGTTGCACTCCCTTACTCAAATGCTGACAAAAGAACAGAAAAGACAAAATTATGCATAAATCCGGAACATATTTGTCTGGGAAACACATTTCTGTTAATAAAATAACTGTCTGGCTGTTTTTACATTCAGTACAGCATTAGCACATGTGCACCTCTTAGCAAGAATGTGACTAGAAGAGCATATGGTAGCTGACAGGTAACATGAGATGTAGTAGGCAACCCTGTTGCATGCCAATGCAGCATCTCCTCCTCTCTTCTCTTTTTTCTTCCCCCACCTCATTATCTTGATTTGCCAGGTTTGCAGGTGGGGACAACACGGTGGAGATCTCAGAGCAAGTGGCCTTCGCGGGGCAGTTGATTGAGTGCTCTTCTGGGTTCACTTTTGTTTAGTTTCCGGCTGATCACATTGTTAATTCTTGACTGAAAAGTACACTCAGCATGTTATTTACCAAGTCAAGTCCAATTCTTGGCAAGCGTTTCATGTAGTTTTGAGGCAGCAGTCATCAACAATCAAAAAACTAGTCATTACTTTTGTTCTAGATGGTGTATCTTTATTTAAAGCTGTGATTGTATAGAGCCATTCAGTCATAGTATCAGAGGTTCATGTTGATAACCCTCCCATAATCCTGTCGGTGCCTCTCAGAGACAGCATACTACAGGGTAGAGTTAGTGATAAAGAGCCTTTGTCAAGGGGCCATTTGGGGCATCAAAAGAGAGATGATGTAATATCTGACAGAAGCGTTGTTTCTCCCTTTCTATGTGACTGATTCTCTCAAAAGACTAACCTCTTAAAGAGCCCCTGTACTGGTGGTCCGCCACAAACTCACATGTAAGACACAACATGGCATATAAACAGCTTTGGGGACAACTGCTCGATCACACTTTGATTTGCACTATGATTTACTTTTTGTCCCCATTAACCTGCTACATATTAAAGCAGGTTCGATCACAGCCACAGTGTATCACGGGTGTCGGGGTTGACCCAGTCTGTTGCTCATGAACTCATCTCCAACAGGAAGTGACCTCGGGGTCTGACTGAAATGCAGTAAATGAGTCAGATACAATTCAAGCTGTGAGGCATTCAGGAACAAG